ACTTTCTATGAAGCCACAATTAGCTATAGGGAGGATTTGGATCTTCCTGATTTAGTGTAATAAGGTTTACTTGTTAACAAACAAACAATATTAATTTAGATTAATGTTTTAAAATTCTAACCCTTTAAGGATAGAGCTTACGTAACACGAATTTTACTATTATTATGATTTGGTTGTCTGCCGATCACAAAAAAAATTGGATTGGTTTTATACAATAAAATAAGAATTATTGTCTTTTTCTTCCATTACTTCATCTCAAGAATAAAAAAAACAGACTAATATTAATGAAAACATTTACTCCTATCCTTTTCCATATTTCCTTATTTATATAATGTTGATATGCTTAATTTCAATAATAAATTAACTATATTTATCTTTATTGTAAAAACGCTAAATAAAAATATGATTATCTTGTTATTGACTTCTTCGTTTAGTCTACGGTAATGTATACTTGATATTTTTTAAATTAAATTGGCATATTCTTCTTTGGGTTATTTTAGAGTCTAATAAGTCTAATGCCACCTACCTTGTGAAATCCTTTGTAAAGATTGTAAAATATTATGTTTTACTAAGGGATTCATAAATTTTATATATACAGGGGTTCGCAAATCACCTTAGCTTTACAAGGTTTTTTTTATTACTACATATGCGCTGATTTTGTTTGAAACCCAAAATTCAGTATGGTATGATTATAACGTTATGAATACCTTATGCTAGCAAAAATCCATTGGTTTGACGGGCTGTTGAACAGTAAAATAGTTTTTTTGGCAGTGCAAATAAATTTTTTTAGGGTTAATTATCATTCTACTGAATTACACACATCTTGTTTAAAAATAAATCAATGACCGACCTATCAAGTTTACATATGCGTAGGGTTTGAAAAAAGGCCAAATCGTTTGATATGATGGATTTTATGTTAATGTCGTCTCATGAAGACAAGTTTTTGACGTAGTTATGTATGAGGCGAGCTAAGAGTTAAAAGATGTTCGGAAATTATTTATCCTCATCGATCGTATAAATAGGTTGACTTTTTAAAATTTTCTGCAATGATCATTATTATCGTTTAAAATAAATGGTGCATGCTACAACAAAAATCAACAAGGCAGTATTGGCAATTTAACCTTTTTTTGAACTTTTGAACCATTGATAAATACAATCCCTACTTTTCTGATGAGAATCACGTGATTTTATTTTAAAAGAATTAAAAATTGAATAATCTAATTCTTTTTCGCACACTCTCTAATGGATCATTGGGATTAGAAAAAATATCCGTTATAGAGAGAATCTGGTATATAAAAATCGTCGATTATTACATGTTTGAAGTCACATACAATTCTAATATTAACGAAAAATTAAAAATGAGCGTTTGTAATACACTACCCTCCAAAAAGTCTTCGAACGAGGTTTTTTAATAATAATTACACAAAATGCCACATAACAAAAGTACATAAAATCTATGTCACTATATGGCTTAGGGTTTGACGGTTCTACATATAAAGTCTTGTTTTTTAATCATTCTTTTATGATTTTTAGTTAAAAAAGACGAACACTAGTCAATTTTTAATTTTATTTTTTTTAAAAAAATATATATTCTCTTAATAACATTTGATATATCATAACTGTAGTCATTGGAGTATCGAGTGTTTTTGCGATTTTTGCAAGAGAACTAATACCTATTCTTATACCTAAAATTTTTCCTCGTTCAGCTTTAGTTAATTCAGAACTTTTATTTTTTGCCATTTTTAAAAATCAAAAAAAAATCGTGGAAATTTTTTTTGATTTAATCAATTTTATCGGAGTCAGTTTATTTTTAATAACGAAATTTTTAGGCGTGACAAGAATATAAAGTTTTGGTCATTTATCATGAGAACCTAAACTATTAAATTTTATTAAATTTTATGATATAAAATTATAAAAAATCACTAAGATAACCCGCGCGATTTATTTGGGTTCGTTTTTTTTTTAAACTAAAAATCATAAAAGAACGATAGAAAAATGAAATTTTATATGTATAATCGCCAAAACCTAAGCCATATAATGATATAAATTTTTCGTATGTGGCATTTTGCATAATTATTAAAAAACCTCGTTCGAATACTTTTTGGAGGGTAGTGTATTACATAAAAAAATATTATTCAATGTTAATATTAAAAAAAAAAACCATCTGATTTAGGTTGTATTTTTGAATTTAATACTATTTTTTTGACTAAGTTGCTGCTAATTCTTTGTTTGCCGGGATCGGAATTGTCTGCTGCCACTCTTTTTACGAAAGCAGTTAATAACATTTTTAAAAAATAATGAACAAAATAAATTAATAAGAAATTCAATTTATGCATTTTATTGTTTTCTATACACTTTGGTACGTTAGCATTATTTATTTAATTAAATAATCATGTTTTTGTTTTAAATAATCAAGGTTTATTCTTTGAGATTTTTTAAGATTAATTTGTAAAGAAATCTGCATCTTTTTATTTTTAGATCACGTGAATCCGTTATAGACAGTGTTAATTTATATATAGGTCATATTGATATGAAATGATTTTAAGATGCGTTATACAAAATTTAATATTAATCAATAATATCCGTTATAGAGAAAAGATTTCAAATAGTAAAAATTGGGACAAAATTTTAGTCCGAGTGGACTTTTGTAGCGGTCGCGTTTACTTCATCGACAATCATTTCATCGACAGTTCATTTCGTCAACAAATACTTCACTGACAGTTAGTTTACATGTGATGATAGTGATGGTGATGATATTGTCACTGACTATTTTGGTGATTATAATAATTGATGATAATTATTGTTTTTAATGGTGTGAATCAGGAAAATTGACAGTATGCTAATGAATAATATTGAGATTTCGTTTGAATCAGACTCAGGAAATATTTATTTTTCTGATAATGATTCTTTTCAAGGTGCATGAAATTCAGTCATTAATATGCTTGCAACTAATTAGCATCCAAATTTTCTTTTTATCTAAATTCTTGATGCTTCTGAAGTCATGATTCCTAGATTCAATCAGGATTAACAAATTACATTAGTAATTATAATCAATGTGTATGTTACGCTAAAATCATACGAAATGATTGTCGATGAGACGAACCAGACTCAACTGTGGGAATAATCTTTCCGCGATTGCATTTCCAAACGCTCAATTAATAGCCTGTCAGAGATTTTTTTTCATTTATATTAGTAAAAAAATTTTCTGTAAGGGTTCAAAGTTATCAATTTTATTGAGGTCAAAAAATCGCATACGTTTTGATGATCAACCATTGTGACCAGCCCCGATGACAACAGCCACAGTAATTATTGGCCTGGATAATTTTGTTACACTAGTTTATTCTGTTCTTGATGTAAGTAAAAAATGGATTATTTCAAAAACCTAAAGAGTAAAATCATCACACCTCAAAAAGCACAACTTACTCATGCTGAACAGCTTGCAAAATTTCGTAACTCCTGGCAAGATATTATAGTAAGTTTTAAATATAAAATCTTCACTCTTAATTATAAGTTAATAAAAATTTTATTATGTAGACATATTTTGAGCAAGATGAAAAAAAAGCCCAGTCTTTACCTGCTCATGTTCAACAAACAGATATTCCACGGCACCTTAAAGAAATGATTGGAATTTTAGTTGAAGAGGATTTGCATCTTGAAGAAGTTAATACTGGACTTTGTATGGAGGAGTTTTTAAGGAATAATGTTCTCAAAGAATTAGCAGAGTTAGCTAAAGAAGATGTTCCACAAGGGATCCGTGGTGAAATTATTCGTGCAGTCAGAGAATTAATTGATCTTTTAGATGATCGATTTTTAGTTCATAATTCTGTCCATCAACCTACTGTTACTTTGCTTCGTACATGTGTTCAGGATGAACAACAAAGAGAAATGTACGATGAAGATTTAGTAGATTTAATGTATATAATTTGTTCCAAAATTCATGGATTTCCAGCTCTTTTAAATATATTTTTTCATGATACACACTGGCTGACTACTCCTCGAAAATACAATAAAAAGGAATTAGATTTTCCTTCAAATATCAATCAAGAAGTAAATATTGATGATGGTGCCTCTATGACAAGCAATCCAACAATTGCTCCCACAAAAACTACAGAATTTACTGAGGAGACTGAAAAGCCTGAATATGAATTTTTTCTTTTTGCCTATTTGTTAAAGTTTGTACATAGAGAGGGTAAATGTGGTGATTTTGCTAGGACTGGCTTATTATTTATAATGGAGCTTGCTGAAGGTCAGCTGGGTGATTACATTTTAGAAAGTGATTTTGCAAATATTATGGCAGCTGGACTGGGTGCACTTTATTCACAGTTGCCTAGAAAATTAATGGTAAAGGGTTCAAGTGGTGGTTTAACTAATGGCACTTTACTTGGATTTGGTGATAATACTAGTGCTGAACTTGAAAGATTACGTTCCGGTGGTATTGAGGTTTCTTCTTCTCAAGTATTTAAGGGTCAACTTGATTCATTTTTAAAATTATTAGAATTTTGTCAGGATGTTTTAGAAAGATGCCTGAATTCAGATATTTCATTGGCATTGCTTCAAAATATCAAAACTCACTTTTTAGAAAATATTTTATATCCATCTATTTTAGAATGTTCTGATACTGATGGTTCATCTGTTGCTGTTATTTCTTATATTGATATAATTTTACAAACTTTAGAGAAAGAGGAATTAATTAATGTGGTTGTAGGCTTCTTGATGGATTCTGATAGTGACGATGAGACCTTTTGGAAACAAACAGCTGCAAATAGCAAAATGGCAAGACGTCAAAGCACGATTAATCTTTTTGCAGGAATTGAGGCGAACCCCAACACATCATCCCCTTATTTTACAGCAGTAGGACGATTTACACTTCAAGATCTTATATTATCACGTTTACGATCATCTTCACAATCAACTGTCATTGCTGCTCTTAAACTTCTTCACACTGTAATTTCAAAACATTGTAGATATTCTTTAAAACTATTAAACATTGAGTTGGATGAAAATGCAACATGTTTTCCTAGACCAAATTATTTGATGGAGGTTACTTATAATGATGATATAAACTCTTTAAATGGGCATGTACCAACACCTAAACTTACAACTATAAGTCACCATTTGAGAGAATTAGATCTTTTTTATTCATTAATTTCAGCAATTGATCCAAGTCAAAGCATTGAAACATTTATAAATGGGTATGATTTATATGTACGTGATGCAGAAGCAAATATAGAAGCAGATTTGTGTTATCGTAGTGGACAAGATTTAGAATGGACAGAAGATGGACCAGCTTATCCTAAAACCAATAACAGGAAAGGTTATCTATCTTCTTGTAGCCAAGTAAACAGCTCAAAAAAACATAATCATACGGAAACCCTTCATGTGCTAAAACATAGACTGAATCCTACAGATCGTTTAAAACCTGGTGATTCACTTTTACAAATCCTTATTGGTACTCTTTCTAATTTTTTTGCCCATTCGCCCGAATTAAACCTTACTTTGACTGGTGTAATTTCAGCGCTTGCCATATGCCCATATAGATCATTAGAAGGTTGGTTGGTATTTAGTGGCGCTGATAGATTAGATAATCGGAATGATTCTTCGACCAAAGATTTTGAAAGTCTTCAACACGAGGCCAGAAATCTTGAACTTTCGCTTGGTATTATTGCAAGTAATAATGAACATCTTGGATCTGAGAATAGCCCAAATGATGAATTTGATGAATCAGATGATCGTTCAATAGATCATGATGTTGAGAAAAGTGCATCAGCAAATAATGCTATTGGATCAGTAACAATGTGGGTTAACTTTCCACCATTCTTTACAATTTTTAAAACCTTAACACAACAAGTTGATTATTATCGTAGCGAAATAGAAAATTTTGATCAATATCTTGATGAGAGGAGAAGAGGTTTACTAGACACAGAAGATGAAATTGAAGAAAATTTCTTTAGTCAACAAAAAACAAACTTCACATCCCGTAGTAGGAGAAATAGTAATAGTGCCCATTCTTCATCTGCAGGAAATTTGCCTAGAAAACCTTCTAGTAAAGATCTTAGTAGGAGTAACTCTTTGTCAACTTCAACACCAAAAAAGATTCCAAAAAGGGCCAGTTCACTTTCACGTAAAGATTCGCTATCATCCTCTCCTATTAATTCACCATTATCATCATTTAAATCCTCACAATTTTCATCTAATCTAATCACACCGCTTTCAACGCATTTTCATGAGACTGAAAATATTAAAATTCAACCACTTTTCCCTGCTCATTTTGTTAATGAAGACGAGGAAGACGACCCGGTTGATCTTGGTGAAGACGAAGATGATGATGAATTATTGTCATCTAAAAAACAAACAAGAACTAAAACAAAAGAAACCAAGCCAAATGAAATTACATTAAGTACGCTTCTTAACAATGTAGTTATTTTGGAAGAGGCAATAAAAGAATTAGTAGCCATAATACAGGTTAGAAGGAGTTTGGGTATTGATGAAGTTAGATATTTGTAATATTAGTGAAAACATTATGTATATTTTTTATTTATTATTGTATTTAATTTATTTGTTATTCCTGTATTCATTTAAATGTAATTAATTAATTGAAATGAAATAAATTAAACAATAAATTATTATTAGTAAATTCAAATAAACTATTTAATTTTTGAACAATTCTTTTAGAATATTAGAATATTCTATGTGATGCCATTTTGAAACACCAACAGCTGGAGCAGAGGTTGGTGGTCTACCGACATACTTTAGCTATAAGAAAAAGATAATTATAATACTTCATTATAATTAATTATCAATTAGGACTAATTAAAAAAATCTTACTTTATGCCCAATAGGCAATAATTGAGATAATCTTGGTTCAATAAACGTGTAGGCACCATTGTTTTGTGATTCTTCCTGACACCAAATATAATCTTTCAAGAAGCGAGAAAAATTGTTAAATTAAATTATTTTTAAAGAAATGATTTTATAATTAGTTACCTTTAACATTCTGATATTTGTTAATCACTGGTTCTAGATCATATTTAGGGAATGGACATAATTCCTAAAATATATAATTTAGATGTTACCTATAACTATTATTAAAATATCTAATAAATATAGAAAATTACTTCAATTCTAATAAATGCGATCGAGTCATTGAGATTACGATTTTCTCGTTCTTTTAAAAGCTCATAATATATTTTCCCAGAAATAAATACAAGTTTTTCAACTCTGATTTGAAGAATATTAAAGAAAAGTGATGGATTAGTGACAATTATATATATAAATATAAAGAATAAAAATTTACTTTGTATAATCCTTAACATCGATGTCACAAAGTACAGGATTAAATGTTGTGCCTGGTAGCATGTCTTCAATATTTGATACTGCAATCTAACGATTAAATAATTTATTAGTATTAATGCTATTAATAATTAACATTGTTAATAATATAATACTTGCAGGTGATCTTAATAAAATTTTTGGAGATATAACAATTAATGGTTTTCTGAAATTCCGCAACATCTGTATTTAATTAATCGGGAAGGAAGGAGAAATGAAAACTTGATTATTAATTCAATTATTTTGCAATTATGGTAAGTAAAGGATTTTTTACCTGTCTTCTTAAAACATGGAAATATTGAGCAGGTGTAGATGGATTAACTATATGCATATTTGTATTTATTGGTGAATTATCATTTAAAACATCGAATCTATCATTTGTCAACTAAAAAAAATTTCAAAGCATATAATTAAAATTATAATTATAAAATCAAATTTAGAAAATTATTAAAATATTTACTTGTAAAAATCGTTCAATTCTAGCACTTGAATGTTCAGGACCTGCACCATCATAACCATGTGGCAATAACATAACTAATCCAGATTGTCTTAACCATTTTGCTAAATAACAATAACAATAATGATGTTGATGTTGTTGATGAATAAAATAAATAATGAATATTTAAACGCGATAGAATAATATTAAATAGTGATTAATACCTTCGCCACTTGATATATAGGTGTCAATGATTATTTGGGCTCCATTAAAAAAATCGCCGAATTGAGCCTCCCAAATAATTAGATTATTTGGAGATTCAGATGACATTCCATATTCAAATCCAACTACAGCCAATTCACTTAAATTACTATTTGCCACCTAATATGTTTTTTAATATGTTAATATTTTAAAATAGATTAAAAATCATAGTTAATGATTATTACCTCAAGCATTCCTTGATTTTTATCTAAATTATTTAATGGTATATGAACTCTCTCAGTTTTTTGACAAACAAACATAGCATGTCTTTGACTGAATGTGCCTCTACCAACATCTTGACCACATATTCTTACATTGTAACCATCCAATAATAAGGTTCCAAAAGCAAGTGACTATAAATTGATTAATTTGATTAGGAGTTCTTTAGTTATGACTTTAATTGGCTACTGTCATTATGAAATTTATTACCTCAGCCGTAGCCCAATCAATCTTTTTGCCCTCGGATAATTTTAATAATCTTGATTGTATATGAAATTTCAAAAGCCTTGGATGAATTACCTATCCAATTAACAATCAATAATTAATTAAAGATATAAAATATTGAATAAATTGTTATTAATTTTTATAATTACAATTTCGTCCGGAAAGCTAACCGAAATTCTTCCAACTTTTTCCAAAATTTCTCTTGATATACCTAAAAATTAAATTTATTAATTGACTCATTCAATTAATTAAATTCATCAAAAGGGGGGTTTTTTTTAATATACTAATTTACTGTTAATATTATTAACCTGTGTCCAATTTGATAATTGATTCTTTTGGAAAAACCATACCGCTCCATTTTTTCTCTAAAGCATCAGCCTATATTTGTATATAATAATATTTATCATGATGATTTTAATATATTAATTAGCAAAAATAATAGTTATAAATCATTGATTAGAGTTATTTGTTAATCACATACTTCTGGTTTATAATCATCAGATAATTTAAGCTGTTCATCTAAATAATTAAAATAATTATTTCTAAATTCTAAATTCTCTTTTTCAGTTAAATTTTTTTGACCTTCATTCTATCTCATTGTGAAAAAATACATTAATTAATAATAATAACAAAAATATATATAAATATATAATAAATAACTCACTAATAATATTTCTTCGTATAATTTTGGTACACTTTTTCTTGATCTAATAATGCTATACATTAATGGTTGAGTGAATGCTGGTTCATCTAATTCATTATGACCCCATCTACGATATGTTATTAAATCTATTACCACATCCTTTAAAAAATTATTGATATTGATATAATACAATATTTTATTTATATTATATATATGTATAGCAAATATTACCTTTCTAAATCTATTACGATATTCAAATGCAACTTCAACAGCCCTTGTAACGTCCTAATAAAAATCAAAAATACATTAATATAATAACAAAATTTGGTTATGATCGAATATTAAAAAATTTCACTCTCTCAATTATATGTACCTCAGGATAATCACCATTAACATGTATAACAGGCGCATTTATAATTTTACCAATATCACTACAATACCAACTACTTCTAGCATTTTGAGCTGGTGTAGTATAACCTAATTGATTATTCACCACGATATGAATTGAACCTCCCGATGAAAAATGTGGTAAATTTGATAATCCAAAACTTTCCGTTACAATTCCTTGACCTGTAAATGCCTAAAAATCATTTACATATATTTTTCAATAAATAAAATCAAATAATCTAATTTTTACTTTTTAAGTTTACTTACAGCATCACCATGTAACTGTATACACATAACTTTATCACCCAATTCGCAATCTGACTCAAATCTTAATAAATCCATTTGCTTTGCTCTCGCTTTACCCATTGCGACTGGATTCACTGCCTAATTGTCAGTATATATATCATTCAGTTCATCCATAAAGATGCTTAAATTTATAATAAAATTAGAAAAATTTACTTCGAGATGCGAAGGATTATTCAACATTGAAACACTTAATAATTTATCATCGCAATACTTTAATTCAGGTGAAAAGGCTTATTAAAAAAATAAATATATGTGAGAATATGAAATATAAACATAAATTTATCAATTATATTTTATTATAAGGCACGTTTAACTTACCAAGATGTGATAAAACGTCACCAGTTGCGGGTAAATTCTCTGGAAATTCTGGATTGCCTTTGATTTTATGGAACAATCTTATAGGAGAAAATTTTAATAAATCAGTTAATAAATTTAATCGACCTCTATGTGGCATGCACATTACTAGTTCAACTATTCCAGCTAAATAATAAATATATTGTTTTTTGTAAATTATATATATATATATATATATATGTATTATAATTTATATAAGATATTTTAAATGTGAACCTTTATTTGATACTTCAAATAGTTTATCTAAAGCAACCATCATCGATTCACCTCCTTCTAATCCATATCTTTTAACTTGAGGAAATTTTTTTGCCATAAAATGATCAAATACCTTTCAATGATGATGATGATGAGGATATGAATAGGTATTTTAATTTATTAATTAAATGATCATTAATATTATCTTTATTTTCACCTCTGATCTTACTAATAATTCAAAAATTCTTTTTTTTTGTTCAAATTTCAGATTAACTTCATAATTTGATTCTATCACATTATAAAACCATCTTTTTTCGCTTGCATCCTAAATTTAATAAATGAATAAATGATTTAATAATTTGAAATAAAAGTAAATATCAAAATGTTATTAAAACTTAACTGGTATGTGCATAAACTCATAAGTAACTCTACCACAATATACTTTTTTTAAATAATTTATGATTTCTTCTAATTTTTCCTGTTTTTTTGAATCTTTTGAATCTTTTGAATTGTTTACGTGAAGAATTCCTTAAAATATAAAATATAATAATTCAATCTACATATACACTTATTATCGTTTTTAATAAATGTTATTTATTACCATTTAAATTATAAAATCTGTTGGGATCATTTAATCCATATCTTCTATGATCAAGTGCTGCTACTTCTCTTTAAATTAAAATAAAATTGCAAAATTGTCAAATATTTCTAAAATAATTTATTTTTATTTTGTTTTGTTATTTATTTTTATTTATCAATGTTATACTTACTCTCTTTCAATTATTCCCAAAGGATCAATATCTCCATTTTTATGTCCATAAGTTCTATAATTAGTTACAAGTCTAAGCAAATTTGCATTTTCTACACGATTTAACAATTCTTCTGATGAATCTTATAATTATAATTATAATTATAATTATAGGAAAAATAATAACATTAAAATTTAAATTGAATATTAAAAATCGATAAACAATAAAAAATTTTTCTTGCAAGTTTACAATCAAGAATGTTTGTTTTCTTTGGTACACGATATCCAAAAATTCCTTCATCATGATAATTTCTTCTAATGATTGAATTTACAAAAGTATTTAAATCAATTTTTTTCAATTCCTTCTTCTTGTGAATATTAAAGATTCCATTCGTAGATTTATTATTGTAGAAATTCAAAGATGACTTTTTACAATCATTAAACTTATAATTATTTAAATTATTATTTCTAATAAAATTATCATTTTTGCTACTTATTATAATTCTTTGATTGTTTACTATAAATGATTTTAATTTCATCATTTTTTTTTAAAGAATAAGTCTTTGTTTATTATATTTATAAATAAAATATATGATTAAAATTCTCACGGTTGAATTTAAAGTATTACTTTATTTGGATCATACTGGAGTATTCGATCAACAAACCTAATTAATATTAATGCGGATTTTTTATGGTTACCCTTTTTCTAAAAAAAATTGTTGTAACAAAAACTTACTTACAGTCAGACCTCCATAAATGCACACCCTCCATACTCTGCACTGCACGGTATTTTTTTCGGTCCGCTCATATGAAAACTCTCTCCCTATAAAATTCATCGTGTAACTACGGTGCAGATCATCTATAATCATTAATTGCTTAGTAACGATTGATCAACTTCAAAATACTAAGACAAAAAAAAATTATATCATTTTAAAAAATTTAACCGATAAGTTTTATTGTTCATGACTCAAGCTTCAAAACTTATC